ACGATTTTTGAAACAACTGATCTCGAAATCTACAATCGGCAATCCTCGGCTGACTCCGCTATACTTCATACAAATTTTTTGCCAATACCCTTACAAATTTATATAGTTTTTTTTATCATTTGATACATGCAGGACATATAAATGAAACACTATGCAAATAAACTTTCCACTTTACTTATATGTGAACATATACATATCTAGAAGACGTATTTACATGTACAAGTATAATGTACCAGTAAACAAGTGCAAAACAATTAAACAGTTAAGTACGTATATGCTGATCAAACATCACTGTCCATTATCCTCATCTCCCTCTGATTCCTCTTCGTCCAAATCAGAGATTGGTATCCCAAGCTTAAGGCAATTTGCAGTTGTAAAGACACTAAGTTTGAACATGTTCTTGTCAAACTTAAATGGTGTTTCAGTAACCTTGACTTTGAAAGTTCTCTGTCTGGAACATAACTCTGTATGTCCATCTGTTTTAGGGCATTTACCATGGTAATAAGATCGGTTTTTTCATCTCTTTTCTTATGACTGGTTCCTTTCTCTTTTATTTTCAAAGCTCTGTCAAAGTTGGCCGAAATATCACTGATAACAGGAACTGCCTTTGAGATGGTCACTATGGCATGTTCAATCTTGTTTGCACCTAAGCCCCTGATTAGATGTTTTAATACTCCGACTTGATTTTCCTTCTCCATGTCTGCAGCTTTATTCTTACCTTTGCCTTCTTTTGGGTTCACATAAGATGATAAGCGCACACGCATTGACAGTCTTGGTGAGAACATCACTTCAGTTTTAAGAATATAATCTATGCATTCAACAAAGTACTTCGATAGAGCACTGTGACTATAAAAGAATGGTATCATCATTTTTAGTATCACATTTGTGCGATAAATGTCTCTTTCTTTGATCATGTCTTTGAAGTTCAGTACAACAATGCCACTGCATAAAGTTGCGCACATAGTTGTTCAAGTCGTCTGATGGAGACTGCATTACTGTAATGTTGATCACTCCATTTTCAGTTGGCAAGCATACTCTAGCCTGTCTTTGTACAAATGTTCTCTTTGGGAATTGATAAGACATAACTTTTGTTATTTACACATAATGGAAATGAGATGGCATTTCCCTCAATTTTGCTTGTAACATGCACTGTGGTTCCTGTAGGTGAAACCGAAACCTCCAACTCCACTGTCTTAAGATTTATTCCGTCATCCTGCATGGAAAAATAGTTAAGAATAAGATTTCTAGTAATCAATTAATTAAATGGAAATACTAGTAAATCTATAAAATCTTGAAAAAGGCATATATACATCAAGCTGAAAATGAGCTAAACTACAGTTCAGGATCTCCTCCATTAGAGCATCAAAGATTTCCTCTTTTCGTTTGTTTTGCATATATACTATGTGTTGTTTTTAAGCAAATGATGTTTAGGACTATCCTCTGTGTTTTCCATTTTGAACAATTTCATGGCAAGAACCAGAAGATACGCCTTCCCTACTAGTAGTACAAAATCTTCATGTGCCTAAAATATATAATAAAATATAAGAAATTGAAAGAAAAGATTTAGGATACCTTTGATGTACAATTTTAAGCAATATGGATGCAATGTTAATGCACTGTGCTAATTCCAATATATCCCTTCAACTTTTTATTGGGTGATATATAACAAATCTATTGAAAAATACCTCTGATTAATGTACATATAAATGAAAGTCCATGACTACACCCTTGCCTTTTACTTAATGCTGATGTGATTTAAGAAATTTTAAGGAAAGTTTTCATGAAATTACTACATTTACTAACCTCGAACCTGCTTTTCACTTGACCATTTACATTTGTTCTTTGGATGAGCAGTTTCATATTTGCTAGAGTTGTAGCATCTTGGCCACATTCTGTTGAAAAAAATCTTTTGAATAACTTCTGAAAAATAAAATACTTTACTTATTTAATATCATAATGTTATCAAATGTTACCAAAACATCCTCAATGTTACCATTTAAAATATGCAATATTCAAATTGTTTTCAATCATACATTAAAGTTAAATAGCTAAATATTTTAATCAAATTAACGGTTCAAAATTAGATTATAGCAATTAACCTCCAGAAAATCCATCAAGGTGTGAAACATTTCCACTATTATTGGATGGAGATGCCCCAGTCTTTCTGTTTGTGTATAACATCCTCTTCTTAAGTTCTTGGCACACAGAAGAGTTTGGCTAATTGTTAACATATATGTATCTCAAACTGGCTGAAGCCATAAATCAGTCACATACATTTTATTGGTTTGGTTCTGATTTTTCTTTCGAGAATTTTATTATTTTTTTCATGTATACATGCACACACTGCAGATTTACATTGACTATTAGCAGCTGTCTAGTGTCATTGCCAATTGTACTGTATAAGTCAATATCAAGAAAATTACCTAAGAAATCTTCAACTACATCCCGATAATGTTCATCTATAGTCTTCTTTTGGGTGAGAGAGTGCAACCTCCTGGTTGATGAGGCACAGAGTAAACAGGAATTCAATGGGATGAGTTTTTGCGGAATTTCTGATTCTATCAATGATCATGTGCACTTCACGTTTGATTATCACATGAGCAAAAACTAATATAGTGTAGCACTGACCATACACATTATACATGAATATCTAAGGCATTCCTTTGATTAAAGAGATACTCATTAAGTACTTTTAAGGGCGACATCATGTCCCTTCACTTTGTGACCAGACAGTATTATGGACCTGTCTGTCCAGTTTTAAAATGCTAGAGATGTGTCATGGCAGGTCATTTCTGACCCTGCCCTGTAATTACCAAAATGATCATGAAATCAGTTTTCTCTACCTTTTCACTTGCTCTAGGTAAACATGCTGAATCGTACTTCCCAAACTGAAATGTGCTTTGTCGTGATTCTTCACCCGTCTCCTTAATAAAATTGTCTTCCCTCTCAGCATTTTTAACATCCCCACTAGACATTCTAACATGTAACTGTTCACTATGTCTTTTCCAGATCATTCCATTCACTTTCACCTGGTATGTCAGGGGACCTTCTATTTCTGTATGATTTCCCCTTTGACCCATTTCTCACTTCCTCTTTAGACTTTAGCATGTACTTTTTCCACCCACTTCAAAGTACTATGTTTTCTTCCTCTATCATTTGACTCAATTTGCTTGTGAATCTTTTCTTTTACATGCATTTTCCAATTGGGACGCACTCAATCTAAACAATTGCGCAACTGTCTTTTCATGAACATAACTGCTGGAGTTTCACCAGTGACTGAATGTGCTGCATTTCTTTAAGCAAACATAAATCTATCTAGCTTGAATTGTGCAGACCCTTTTTCATTTCATGATGCACGTAATCCCCGTTTAAGAGATTGAACAAATCTTTCCCCTATAAACCATTGGTACTTGGATGATACAGTGCGCTAAATTTATGGTTAATACCATTCTCCTTCATGAAATTTTGAAATTCTTCTGATGTGAACTGGCTACCGTTATCAGAAACTAATATCTGTGGTAGACCTGTACGACTAAAAAGAGTGCACAACACTGCTATAGTTCTATCTGAAGTACTTGAGGGCATCGTATGGGCATCGATAACTACCAGATAGGTACGATCTTCAAATAGTCCTTTCCCATGACAGAATCATCGCAAAAACCTTTGGGTGTCAAACGTTCATTGAAATATTCTGTTACTTGGTTAATTGTCACAATTTGTCAAATTAAATTTTGTGAATCATATCTCACAACAAGTACTGTACTCACGGGAAAACAACAAAAGCATCCTTTCCCATGACAGAATCGACTGCATAAACAAACTTGCACTTAATTATTTGTACTGGAAGGTACGTTGCAGGACCCTCCTGTTCAAACAGGGTTATGTGCCACACTTCGACAGTTCTACCAAACATTATTTAATTCTATCTTCAAGGCGTTTAAACCAATTGGCCTTGGCTATAATATGACGTTTTTCTCTTCCATCAATGATGATGGAATGTTCTAAAAACTTAGGTGTGAGGTCATCATACGTAACAGCAGAATACACCAACTGACTTTTGTAGTTAGGTTTTCTAAACTGCAGTGTTACTCCATACCTCTTTTGAAGTTTACCTTCTCCCTTCCCAACCAGTCTCACTGCATGAGCCACGGTGGGGTATTGAATTGATGAGTGCTCCAGGTTAATGCCATCATCAGCTGTAAGGGCACTGTTCTCTGTTGAACATTCGGCATATCAAACTTTTCTGGGTATTTTCCTTCCTTATGATTCCATTAGATGGGATCTTGGGTCGCAGGTGAATAGCTTATAAGTGGGGACTATCACTTCCCCAGCGAAACTTGTAGGTCGCTCTTGCAAGTCTCTGTACACTTTATTGAAGAGAATAACGGATACCCACTGGTACATCTCCACTAGCTGGCCAGTCTTCACTGTGTTTGCGAAGTAGTTGAAAAGCCCACTTTGGTTCAATTTGCCCATCGCAACTTAGTAATTATGGGTATGTTTGCCGTAGCCCACTGGATTTGTGAGACTTTCTCCATTTTCATTTTCTTTGGTCCACTCCTAATCACCACTGATGTGGTCGTTGTCTTTGGTACCATTATATTCCTCATTACTCTCAAAGGTTTCATGATATGTTTGCACTCAGTATTAACATTTTTATCTTTTAACTTTGGGTATGGAATGTTCATTGATATATTCTGTTACTTGGTCAATTGCCACAATTTTGTCAATTTAAATTTTGTGAATTTTCAAATTCAAATGATATGTGTCAAAATAATGTTTTTGCCTGTAAACATTAGCAACAAGCTATATTTTAGGTAGAAGCAGGATGCTTTTCTGGGCCTATCACCAGACAACAAATAGAGGAAAAGTCAGTTTCTGTACTATGTCAAGGTTCATATATATATATATATATATATATATATATATATATATATATATTGTTTACAGACATCTGCTCATATTTGTTTTATATGCAATACTGTAAATTGATCACAGATATATTTTATTTCAATTTTGCATTATTATATTTTATTTCAATCTTGCATTTTTTGCATTAAAATTTCATTAAACAATGAAAATAGATATTTTGTTGTTGTGTGCTTGGCATTCATTTGCATAAAATATAAGGGAGGTGTACTGACTGTATTCCATATACATTTGACATTGGCAGCTTTTGGAATCATTTAGCCTCTTCCATTTGAAAGTTCCACATGTCTTAAAGTCAACATACTAAGCTGATTTCTTATTCACAGTCAAGATAACACAAATATTGCTTCTGATGGTGCATAGTTTTTAAATGAGCATCTTGGCCTTTATGCTGCATTGTTCACAGCTCATACCTCTGAGGAGAATAATATGTACTAAACTTATTGCAGTTATTTCTAAATTTGCCAACAACTCGTTTCTCATGTTATGTCCTCCATGGATCCATAAAGCCCCATGTTGACTCCCTGATTGATTATGTCTGGCAATGTACCTAACAAAAAACAGAAAGCTTAAATAAACAATCATAGACACAAACTGAATTATTTGTGAATAACAAAATTTTATAGACATTAAGGCTTCGTTCACATGCAATGTCTATTTTCTATTTTCTATTTTCGGTATGTCTTATGATCACGCTCTGTGCCCTGAACATCCCGCGGCGTAATTACTGGCAGCGCGAGCCAGTTACTTATAAGAAGCCAGTAATTACGCCGCGGGATATTCAGGGCACAGAGCGTGATCATAAGACATACCGAAAATAGAAAATAGAAAATAGACATTGCATGTGAACGAAGCCTAAGACTGATGTCTTTTGGCATATCAATTTAATAATTCTGAATCCATGTATTCTGGGTTTTGGTGACCAATCTCAGAAAACTGTGAGATAATTTCTAACAAGGAGCTAAATTTAGGATTTTTTTATGTTTACTTCATCCCTCTGCTGTCTTCACCACAAACACTTAAGAAAGGTTAGCCACGTGTCATAAGTTGTAATTGCGTGGTCTGGCAATATATTATGTACTAACAAAAGCCACCACATCTTGAGTGGAAATGTGCCTAAAAGATCTGTTTGATGAAAAAAAAAAAAAAAACAATATATCAGGTGCAGCAATGTATAGTATGTGAATGTGTTTGGTATTCCTACCTGTTGGAGGATCTTGAAGGAAAGGATCGCTGGTGAATGCTATAACAGGTTGATGGTTCAGCTTCAGTTCCTCATCAAGATTTTCTAAAGACCTAAAAGAAATCATCAAATTTCAAATTACTTAGTGACAGTGAAAACATTCTAAATAAGGAACTATAATTTTATTAGTTTTCATACAGCATGAAAAGACAACTTTTTTAAATTTTGACATGAGGTGTCTAATTTGTAAACTTCCAAAAATGTATAAACTTTATATCCATGCCAGCAAGTTATGATAATGTGACACACATATCACCATAATCATTAATTTCTTAATTTGTTTTCTCAATATAACCTGGATTAACATGTATCACTGACTACCTAATTATCTCATAGTATACTTAAACTTTATGATTTTTCGTTTTCAGAATAAAGGCAAAATTAAACTTAATTTTCAGAATATAAGAAAACCTATACTTACTCAAAGCTTCCATAGTTATTGTCAGGTAGTTTTACTTGCAAAAATGAGATAACTGATTTAGGAATCTTTTCATTGGCTAAAACTCCCTAAAAAATATACACAACATGGTTATCAAATATTAACAATGTCATTAACACCAGAAAATATTTAGAAACTTTTAGAAAACTCGATATGCATATATGAAGGAAATAAAATCATAATTCATTACCTGGAGATAAGTTTCAAGACCCTGTCTCCTGTGTTCTAGTATTTTATGATTAAATTTCAACACTTTTTTGGGAGGAAACTCTGGTACTTGTATCTTCTGTTTCTTTAGCTAAAATTTAAACAATAATATATCATAATATATCAAAGATAAGCAATGGTGCTTACATATTTTAACACATGATATGCCCCATTCTTTATCTTATATATATATTGTAAAAAAAAAATGGTTTACTATCTGCATATAACAGCAAACAATACATATAAGCAATTCCACAATTTGAGTAAATGCGTATCTCAATGAAAGGAACTCGCGCAGGCTTTATTAAAACAAAAGCTTGTAACAGACTTTAAAAGTGGAAAGTTGCTTTTCCAACAGATTAAAATATGTGAGATGTGGCTCCTAAGAAGATGAATTTACCTTTGACATAATTACTTACTTTTTTGTGGAGCACTTCAAATTCAGTATATCTTTTTTCAAGTTCATGGAATTTCCCAGCAACACTGATTTCAATACAGAATACCTGAAATAAAATAGACAATATTCCCATGTTATTTTAGTCTTTTCATTTAAAATGTTACTTATACATAAATATTTTAGCAAAGCTGAAACACCAATATACAAATCTGTCAGAAACATGAATAAACTGTTGGTGAAACAAACCAAGTCAACTTTGCAGAATCAAAATATCAAAAAGGACAACAATTTTCCAGTTTGATTTCCTTAGTTTTATCACTTGACGGGAATGTACAACATGAGATGAATGAGGTTCTGTTTGGGGAAGATGGAAAAATTTTTAATTTTATTGAAGTTGCATCATCAAAATATGCAATTGAATTTATAAATAATATAAATTCCCCCTAGCTTCAATTAATCGCTGCAATCCATCCATTTACTCATCTACTTGACATACATTCTTCAGATATTCAGTTATATAATGCAAAAACAAGGACACAAACTTAATCCTGTCATATAATTACTATTAGGAAGTAAACTGTCTGCTATACTCTGTTCAGTGTAACAGTGTTTTAACTGTGAGTATAAGTTATAACGTTACAAATTGCATTCCATCAACTCATCTACCACCATGACTTACAGTATAGCTTCCATTTTCGTCTTCAACCTTCTGAAACGAAGGTATAGTTATATGTATCATATTAAACAAAATTATAAGTAAATATTAGGGAGAAAAGGTGCGTAAAAAAACAAGGGGCAATACCAGATGAAATCAACAGGGCGCAGCCATTTTGGACACTCACGTGATACGTGCTTCATCCGAAAACGAGGCCTGAATTGGAGATCCTGAGGTTATAAATATTACAAGTAAGTGATTAAATGCCTGTCCTAGCGTAATTGTTCAGTTAAGTAGATGTTTCAGCGTATATTCAAATGCCAAAGAAGGACGTTTATCTGTCCTCATACACCTATAAAGTATTTGAATGGCCCATGAATTATTCAGAGTTCAGATGCACCATAACTTAAAAAATGAGTAAATGAAATTATGGAAATGAACTTGCAGAGATATCAGTGCATCATTATCACAGGTAACGATGTTGAATGTTTCACTCAGTTGGCAGTCTGATAACATGTGTTTTGTGTCAGTGCTGCATTGTATAGAACTGTTGCTTATTTGTAAACATACAAGTACCTCTGCTTTGATGATTCACTTGGTTTTGGCAAAATGTTTCCAACAGCTACGTGAGTACACGGCCACAACTACACATACTGGCTTTTGTATTCTAATTTTATTGGTTACAGTATATATAAGGTGTATATCTTACTCTATATTTTACTCACTGCAGGTAGTCTAAGGCTCTGTGCTAGTCCAGGTGAAAGTTGCTTACTAGTAAGTTATACCTTGCAGACTGTTTAAGAGCTAAACACTTCTTTGTTGATATTTTGTGTCATTTTATTATCATTAAATTAGAAAGGCCTTTTTTTTAAAAATAAATTTCAGGAGCATAGTTGAAATGAAATTGCAATTTTCATCAGGTGCTGTCATTTTAAAGAGACGCCCATTGCATACTGTAGTTGTGCTAAACAAAAGGTAACAGGATCATGACTGTTTATTGGGAGCTAGACCTTACCTGTGGTAGGTACAATTGTAGCAGATTAAGCCTTCAACTGAGGCAAAGGGGTCAACATGCAAGCAAAGAAGGTCATATAAAATGTGTACTGTCATTATATTAGAACTCATCTATGTTTACTTGTAGATAATAAGTTTACTATTTCCGTAACTGGGCTCCCAGTACATAACAAAAAAGGGATAAAACTCAATTTTACTAAAAAATTGGCCTTATCTTAAAAATAAAAAAAAATTGCCTTCTTCAACTTGTAATAGCTTCCCCAAAGAAATAGGTTTAGTAAAGTAATAATTAGTAAAGACAAAGAACATTATTGTATATCTTTATATGGCAAGAAAAAAGAAAAAAATGAAATGGAAACTTATTGATTTTCCCATAATCGCCAAGGTATACTTTATCTAAAACTGCTCAGAAAATAAATATCCGTAGAGCCAATTTCTGAGTTCTATATTTTAATTTTGGAAGATGCTTCGAAATTTGTTAGCTTCCATCTCCATAAGGCCTGCAGAGCTGGCAATTTGCTAAACCTCAATGTGTGACAGGTTTTATTGTGAAAGTGGGGAGGGGGGGAGGTCAGGCACAATATCATGTTCTTGTAATAGAAAGGGAACTACAGCAAAATCCCATGTATACCATTATTGATATGCTTCTTATTACCTACTAATTTGCATGGTAAAGTTTGAAATGTGAACAGTATTTAAAAGTCACGTGCTACCCTATATAAAATTTTGTTAAGATTCTAAGGTAGGAATACAATATCAGGTATTAGTTGTAGGCTTTTTGTATAAAATGTCATTGTCAAGTTGTCATGATGATATTGCTTATTATTTTCAACAGTAGTTGGTATTAAGAATTCAGTTAGGTTTTTAAGTGGAAGTATCCTTGTTTAAACTGCCTTAAGGATACTGTAAGACTGGATTCCCACAGATTTAGATTGATCCATCTAGATCGACCTAACTCCCAGGGGGTTTACGCTAAATTGCTGTCAGCTGAACGCGCACGGAAGTTAATTACCCCCTCACAGCTTTTAGTGGGCGGGACAGACATTTAAGCTGGCTAAGTTAACAGTAATCTAGCGAGACTCTCCACGGAGATAGATCGATCTAAAATCTGTGGGAATGCAGTCTAAGGGTTTATTATCATCCAGGTACTGAAAATTAGATATTTCCTACCTTTAATTATTCAATAATACATCTACCTCTGTGCTGATTTAAAACAATAAAAATAAAATATCAGCTTTTATATTTCTTGTTGATATGTATAAGCATAGGCAACTAAAAGATTTTATCATCAGTTTAATGTTTTTCTATTTTGAGATGAGCTAGCAATCGGTATAGAGTGTAACGTCATTCCTGAACAAGATTTTAACACGGAAATTGGCACAGTTGACCACAGGTATATGAGCTTTAATCCTCTGCCATCATTTTGGTTTAAATGTTTTTGTTTTGGAGTTATGAGCCCCTAGTTACATATTTTCATTAAACAAAGGCATTATTTTGCTTTATCAATAATGAAATCTGACGTAAGTCCTTTATGAAAAATTGCTGGCAGGGTTTTGTAGTACTAAATAGGGCCATCAAATAGGCACTAAAATCATGTTCATGGATGTTCAGGTAAAGGAGACATTTGAGAAACAGATTTTTCCATTTTTACCCCAAAATCGCAATTATGACATCACTTGTAAGATGGTCTGTAAATTTAATGTTAATAATATAGTTACTTAACACTAAAGGCTGATCAGATATCCAAAAGAGTGTAAGTACGGCAGTAAATAAAGAGTTTTTGGCAAATGCTTACTGTATCTTTCAGCATATATTACACCAACTGATTTTATTTTGCGTAGTGCCCCTTTGGAGATAAGGTCTTAATTTCTATTTGTCAGTTTTGAATGCAGAACAGCATATCACAGCCGTTGAGTAATTTTTATCTGGAGTGTATGTGTTATTAATAGGTTTTGGATTTGAACACTGTTTGCCCTATCTTTTGTGATTTTAAAATTTCAAACACATTATTTGTTTGACAAGTAAGGCTTTTCAGTAAGGGATGTATTTGCACAAACAGTAGATTAGTTTGTGGTTTACTTATTTCTTGACACTGAAAATACCAAAACTAAGGTGTTTTTGTCTTCCAAGATAATCAAAGTTTAACCTCATAAATTCTAGTTTAGTGGCTTGTTGTTTTATCAAATGAAAAATCACAAGAAATTAGAATGGACCAGCATCAATAATGATGTCAATATTTCAGCATGGTATACGTATTAGCATCAGTTTTTTTATTCTCAGCTTATTGACCCTCATTTTGATTTAACAAATCCACACGAAGCTTATGAGCTTATTTCTACAGAGATACCATATCTCAACACAAATATATGGGCAGTTTGCTTTTGACAATTTCTGTAAACCTTCCCACCATACTGGAGAATACTGTGGCACAGGAGCATTGGAATGGATGTTGGGTCCTGGCAAACAGAGTTTTGTAAAATTTTGATATTTCTTCATTTAATCATGGAGTATATTTGTAAGCAGTGTTTGCCTCTTAGGAAAATTAGTTGTTGGACTGAAGATGCAGCCATCTTGAAAAGTAGCTGTACTGAATGTGCCGGGTGGGAAAACTTCTCAGCCCGTTCTAAAAGTTGTCGGCGCCGGGCAGACAGTCCAGCCTTAATTTCTAACACTGTTTGTAAGTTTAGCTACATTATTTTACATAAAATATATATTATACTTTTTAGGTATAACGTGCATAGATGGTGGAAAAAATCACCAGTGAGATCACTAGTGAGAGCTGCAGATGCAAGTTTTACAATTATTTTCAGTTAATAGGTGAGGTATAGTATGTAAAAAAAAATGCTAGAAATTCTGGTATGTATTAGCACATTTCATCATGATTATCAATCATTAAATTTCATTGAAAAGTTCAGTGAATTGACATGTATGAGAATTAATATATCTAGAAATGTTCTGTGTTACAAGCATTTATAATAATAGAGTTATTAATGTAGTTTGAACATCAAAAATTTCAAGTAATTATTTCATTGGAAATGTATGAACTTGGTAGGCTATTGATCAAAATGGCCCCCAAGGTTTCACTATGAAATGCAGTCCACTCTACATGATTTTGACACATTGGGACTGAGTATGGTGAACTGTCACTAGTAGACAATGTACATTATTTTGTTTGCCATAATACCAAAGAAAAAAATAATTTCATAAGTTTTGTTTGAAATAAAGTATAAAATTGAGTTTCAAAGTGAAGAGTTATGCCCAGTCTACTGCAGTTGTGTGCCATTTTGTATATGTCATTTAGTCAATGCAAAACAAATCTATATTGTTATAAATGTTTTAAGAACATATGTATGATAGTAATATTGATATTTTTCTACAATTGCAATAAATCTAATGTAGTAATTTACTCATTCTTTTGGAAGTTTTGTCATAGATTATACAAATGCTCAATTTCTTACATTACATTTGAGCTATAACAAAGGTTGTCTGTGAAAATTAAAAAAAAAGCTAATTAGTCACATTTTTTCCTAGGGGATATCCAGTCATGGTCGCTTTAAAGGAAAGTGGAAACAAAAAGATTTCCAACAATATGATCTCACCTTGCTCACATAATGTGTGATACAATGGACACAGACGACATTCCAGTAGTAGATGTGGCAGCAATAGAGGAAGATGTCCGTGACAGTTCGGAATTATCCCTTAGTTGTGGTCAGGGCAATCAGGAACCAGATACCAATATCCACAGTACAGACACTGGGAGCTCACATGTTGAGGAGTTGATTCTTGTTGGTAACAATGATAACACACCACCAGTTTTATTTGATTTTCCTGTAGGTAAAACTGGAAGTCTTGAAACAGCAGTTGAAAAAAAAGATGAAGATCTAAGAGTAGAAAACACAGAATCTCCTGGAGAAGAAAAGAGTTTGAAGGGGGCTGATGTAGAATTTAGCAATGAGATAAAAAATGAAAATTTCATTTTTACCAAAAAGGATCTTGGAAACAATTCATTCATTGGTTGTGAGGAAAGCACTCCATCTGACATGAATCTGAACAGTGGTACAGTTTCTCATGAGTTGTCAGACAGTATGGCAGAAAATGTCAGAAAGTCGCCAGCCGAAAGTTCAGGTTCAGAATCGCAGCCAGTCCCACCGAAATCTGGTGACCTCATCTGCTGGGGATGTGGAGAGTTTGGGCAACACGGTCACACACAAAAAGAAGATGTGTCCAGTCAAAGTGGCCTGCTGGATGTCTTTCGTGGGGACGTGTCAATGAATGTCAAGGCCATGGCATGTGGAGCTAGTCATACAGTGGTTGTCACAAGTAAGTGTATCAAGCTGCTTTGTACTTTCGTATTGTGACCACTCAACAAATTCAAAACCGTTTACTTTTATTCTAGAAATAGTGCATTCTCGGAAATATCTGAAAGAGATTTTTTTATTTATTAGTTTTTAATCGTTATTTATATACACTGTATGCAAAACATATACACTTACACATGAAGACAATACATGAATTTGAAATTCCTAGATATAACATGATTATCAACATATATACTAAATCCATGCAATATTTAGCAGCATTTTAAAGTAATAGCTAGACATTGACAAGGCACAATAACTACATACACTAAATACATACAAATCATGCACACAGTTTAACCTGGATTGCAATGAATTGTATATAATGTTGTGACATTTTAACATGATATTAAGTAACCATATAAAATAGAACTTTACCAAATACATTTATATATAGCTGTCGCACCCACCAACTATATCAAAATCAAAATATATAAATCAAGCTTTTCACAATATCAGCCACAATGCCTGAAAGAGAGGATTATAATGGTCATAAACTGAGTTGGGTTCATGTCAAAAAGTATATGATAGTTACAAGTAATTTAAATTTCTAAACTCTAGTGAAGTTTTAAGTGTTAGTTAATACCATGAGTATAAATATAAACATAAATATATTTTGGGGTAAAATTTCAATGTCCAACTGCATTGCAAATTTTTTATTTTTTCACCTGAAGAACAAAATGTTTAATTGGTAAATTGTTGATAGCATCATTATTTGAGCCCACTTAGAGCTTAGACCCAATTTACTATTAGCAACACTTTGCTAAAACAAAACAATATACTTAAAAGTTAGTGAGTTAATAAATATAAAAGTGATTTGTTTAGTAGTGAATTTCAACCATTGTCTACTAGCTACATTCCTCTCAAAAGTCTGCAGTTTGATACATATCAGTAGCAGTATTGATCTTTAAGCCAACAGTTTGCCATGAGCAATTGATTGCATAATTTATGTAGTAGTTTGTACTAAAAATACATGCTCTGAAGAGAAATCAAATTTTTGTCACTTCATATTTATGGTCTGTTGGCTTTTTACTCTTTGTTGTATTGTAAGTGCCAACTTTAAGTAGCGCAACTCATGGTAAACAAGATAAAGAGGCAATGTCCTCTCAATTTTAGTCATTTCCATAGTCAAAGTATTAGTACTTGCAATATAGTACATGCTTTTTCCAAAATGTAAGCATATTAATTGAGGCATTTTGGTAATAAAATTGTCAAGAGTTCAGGAACAACAATTGTCAGCCACATATGTTCATTGAAGATATTTAAATGAAAGAATATCAGCTTTGTTTCGTTTAAGTAATGTTAATGCAGGTCATTATGTGTAGAAAAAACTTTAAACAATAAAAATTATTGTCCTTGATCATATACTTACTGTTAATTGAATATTAATTTAGGTTATAATTTATATAATTGTCAAAAGGTGGCAGCAGTGAGATGCATATAAGCTTTTATTTTTTGCCTAAAGAGGGCAGCACAGTCCGCGAGTAAAGTGAATGGTGACTTTGGCAGTGCAGTTTTTCATTGTGACCAAAAATTGATAAAATTAAAATTCATCCATATTTATTTTCTTTTGGAAAATTAAAAGAAATTATTTCCCACCATTTTAAAGGTAATATTATAGATTTATTAAAATGACTAGTTAAAATAGATTACACACAAGAGTATTTCTAAAGCTTACTTTGGTTTTTGGCCATGCAAGGTACTCGGAGCATGTGCTACCTTCAGTCTCGATTAGACTGGGGCTTGTTAGTCGGTATGGAGTCAAAATTTTCAAACCTATGGCAACTTAATGATGTGCCTTCCTGGATCCATACTGAAATCTGTCATCATTAACAACTTGCAGGCCTCGTACATCACATCTGTCAATTAACTCCAGATAAGTTTGTTTTTTGTTCCTTGTTTTTTATTCATGAAAAAAAATACAGCTACGGATCAGGAAAACTGAAGTGGAAAGTAATACCAGAGTAGTCATGGTTGATAAAGTTTTGCATGAGTGTTGGGAGGGCAGTGACTGTGGATTCCATTCACTTGTTTTATTATTTGTCACCCCAGTGCACATGGAATGTGTTCCCTAACACCAAAGCTCTCTGTAACACCAAAGCTCTCCTGATTATAATAAAAACTAACTTCAGTCCTGATTAAATGTGAAAGGCAGCATTTTGCCTAAAGTCTGCCTGTGTATTTTTTTCACAAACTCTTGTGTTTCTGGTATATAATTACTACGGGTTATGATCACTGATATCATTCATCATAACCTGACAGCACCAGAACACATTTTTCTTTCTTCAATGGAAAATAAGGTCGCTAATTATTTTCCCTTTGGAAATACACTAGAGGATTGCGTGTGCTGCAAAGACACTTTCCTGGACGTGAAGTACAAGGCTTTGAAGTGCCCTTTGATGTTCTGAGTTTTGCAATCAGTTTCAATTTGCCTTATGGTTGGAAAACTACATGATTTTCATTTAAAACGATTACATGTTCTGATGTTTTGTGTGTATGTATCCTGATGAAGTATTTATCTCATGACTAGAGACTGTTGGTTTGGGATATTATGGTGTTGCCATTTGTACTTAGATCTGCTTTCATGTCATGTAAATGTTAGATAGTAAAACAGGATGTTTGATAATTTAGTATTTTAAAGGCAGTGCAATAATAAATGGTGCGTATCCTTTAAATATAGAAGGCTAAGTCCTGACTTGTCGTGGATTATTACACATAAAACTGTACTTAGAGTGGGGAACTGTTAGAAGTAGCTAGCCTTGAAACAGTATGATTTAAACAAGGTTCTCTTTTTAAGATTTAAGTGGTCATGATATTTTTTCTGTATATAGCCTGAACCTGTTCAAGGTAAAGATTATATTTTTGCCCAAAATATTTGAGTCAAAAGAACAGAAATAAATCGAAAGGAGTGGGAGGGACTTCCTAATGAAATGATGGAGAAAGAAAATGTAACAAAGGTGAACTGTTTAAATTTGAACAGATTTGAAATTGATATGTTCAACCAGGGTGATTGGATTTTATTAAAATGTCTGAATTTTGTTTGGCCTGCTCTTTATCAACTTTTATTTGTTGAGTTTTAATTTTTTTTTTTCAAATTAGATTGCTCCTGATAAATGCCATGTGGTGGAATTTGAGTTAAGAAGTAGTAAACGTACCTGATATATGAGATTTATGTTTGAATGCAATTTGAAAAAGAAAATTATGAAAAGTGAATGCATAAAGAAATAACAGCACTAGCCAAATCTAGGCACCTGTAAAAACAAAACAAAAAAATCAACCAAAGTATTTTTATTTTACAAAAGCAATATGAAATATGACCAACCTAAGCTCAATGCTTTCAGAGAGTTTAGGCTTGGTATTATATAACTGTGTACACTCATGTTTTTATTAAACAGAATGAGGGCACAAAAATGAAGGTGAATTGCTTGAGGTTCAACATAGTGATCCTGATTTTATGAAAGAAGCCTTTCATGCTTAGCAAACAAGCACAGGTGCGACTTACTTTTCTATCATTCATACTTGTAAAGATCGTAATCATTATATACTTTACCATTGTTACAAGGTGAGAGAAGTTCATGAACATCAGACCTTTTGGAGCAGTCAGTTGAAAAAAGGGTAAACTTTAGTGAACCAGTTTCCAATATTTATATTTGATTAGTATTGATAAACTAATGTAGTAGTGAGCAATCTAATTGTTCCAAGGTGGTGGCTTTTCTTAAAGACAGTGTTAAGGGGACTTTTGATGACCAGTCAGGCATGTAGACCCGGTTGAACAGAAATCAATTCATTTTTCAGAAACTGCGATTATTCGCAACATTGTTACACATGGACCTTTTCACGCATTTGCTTGTGTATAGTTGTCTTCCGCATCACGATTGAGAAAGTAAATAGTACGGTGCAAACAATACCCCAGACACCGTCTTTATCATGTGACTAATTAAGCATGCAGCCAGCATTGCCTTTTGCGTTGCAACGCATAGTACCTGTTGACCCTGTGTTTTTACACGTACCACAAAAGCTAGCTTCGTGTGTGCCCTATGATCTGGAGGGAGGGAAAGCAGCAGCGGACCCAGCCCATCCTAGCCAATCACCTCTCTTTGGCATCAAATTTGATTATCGCCTTTACGGAAAACTATCTAGAGTGCTACATACATCTCAGGAATAATAAAGACATCTTTTTCAGTGAAAATTTTCGGCTAGAACACCTCATTAGTTTTGAGTTCATAGGCAGACTCATGGGGTTAGGTTAAAAGTATTGAAAGCTAGGAAACCGAGAGCCGTCAGTACCAATATCCACTTGCTGCCTATCATTCTACATGATATACACCTGATCAGTGCCAAACTATATCTTACACAGGTGGATTGGGGAGGGTGGGGTAACAGTGCTTAACTAACCTTAACTTTTATGACACATCTTGGTGTTTTTATATTTTCTGTGCTGGTTGCTTGTCAGTTGAGAACTGAGTAGATTAACCTAAGGAGCACAGCCCAAACCACCTACAAGTGGCTGATCTTTGTCCAAGTCACCAACCTGAATGCCTTAGACTGAATTGATTGTACAAGAGTATTACTTGTGCATTTGCATGGAAAATTGCAAAGATGAATATCCACAAAGGTTTTTGACACAATCGATATATCTTATCCCGAGGCATGGCGTATGTTTGTTTTTCATTTTTCAGTTGAGATGCCATGAATGACAAATTAAGAGTTATATCTCCATTTTGAACAAATCATCACACCTTGCCTTATTGATCAAATTAGCATTTTGTCACACAAGCAGAAGAATTTGAAAAATAAGATGTTTAATCTTCTGGTTTTGGATAACGATATCTGTATTTGTTTTTTAAAGGGATAAATGGTGAAAGAAAAGAAGGTCACATAACCGGATGTTTGCCATTAAATATGTAATTTTCTTTTACTATTGCCAGTTCAAAGGAAGTAATATCAAAAAGTAAAAGAGACATATAGATATATTTAAGTTTTTTCATGTTGTTGTTATTTTTATTTTTTGAGATAGCACCTTCATGAAAGTTACAGTAATTACTCAGTCTTTACATAGAGAAAATTGTTAATTTTTTAGATGCTGTATTTTTAAAGTCATAAATTCCTAAAATTAGAACATTCCCAATTACAAATTACAAATTGAAAAGCAGGCTACCCTTTAGTACTATTCTATGCAGTAAAAACACCACAAAAGCTATATACAAATGTGCTTTTTAATGATTCCAAAATTATGTGACTGAAAGATTGATCTTATTGTCCCCACTAAAAAGATTGAGTCATTAGTGTAATTTTTGAGAAAAAAATCCCATTTAGTAATTGTATAACATTATCTGTTAGTACATGTTAGGTGCTTTCCATCAAGTTACAATTTGTGCTTGATTCAATAATTTTTGGCATTTGCTGGATATGATCAGGACAATTCCCTTTTGTTTTTCAGCATTTCATGATGGGGGGTTATGTAGTGCATCGCATGTATACAGGGAATGGGTAATATTCTGTTTGCTGGGTAAAAAAAAAAATTATACACTTTTTTGTGTTTTACCAAAAACTTCTATGACACTAACTTTCTAGCAATATAAACAAAAATTCATTGATGTCTCACCCATAGTCCCAGTTAATGATTGATCAGTTGTGGTAGTAAATAAAGCACCTAAGGTAGAATAACTATTTTGTTTAATGTGACCAGTGCATTACAACTTCTGCTATATGATATTGTGACACGAACTGTGGAGAAGTACTCCAGGTGGATGGTAATAACTTTTGATATTGTCCCCAGAGGAGAGATCATAGCTGAATTGTATTTTATTAGAAATGTTTGCCATGTTTGAATGAATACCTGAGAAAGGTTTTTTCAATGAGGCACTGGGGATTTAGTGCAAATTGTCGTAAGTGAAATGTATCACCTAATGAAAGTGAACTGTAGAGGCCAGATAGTGGTGTATTCCCAGTGATAGTGCTACCCGTCGATCCTCTTGACATTGCTTTTATTGAATGTTATTTATTACAAGAGTATCGCCAGTTGAATATAATGTATCAGAGACTACATGCACTGTATGGCATATGTCAGACTAAAATTGCAATGAACTTGTTGAACTCTGCTTTTTTTTATATCTGCCATCATGTACAATTAAAGGAAAGGGATCAGTCTGTGTGATGCTTTTGGCTCTAACAACATAAGTTACTGATGTAATTGTATTAGAGTAGGTCAACTACTGTAGTCAGGGAACTTGTTTGGGTGCATTTCCACTGTGTTGGTTTTTTTCACACCTTGGGATTGATGCAAATGTTTGAATATGAACCTGTTGAACCATACAAGCTGTAAATCAACCGCAAAAGATGGCAGGCAGTGCTTGCTAAGTTATACCACGCTTTGATCATGCCGCGTGCTTTTCAAGACTCGCGATCATGCAATATCGTTTCGTGCATCATCTGACCCTGAGAAGAATATTATAGTGTCATCATCAGTGTGACATTTGTTCAGTTTGCTTTGATTAAAAAAAAAAAAAAGAAAAAAAAATGTCCGTGCACCACTTTTGATAAATATGCGTCAGGACCCTCTAAAAAAATTGTTTGCGCACATTCATAACATTGAAGAAAAGCAAATGATTTGGGTAGGGCCGATTAGTCAATACTCCTACACGTATGTTCTGGTTGGTTCATTGAGACTCCAGTTTGACAACCATTACTCCTGTCTTAGTCTGGGGTGCCTTTGGACCCTTACTGACCGCAACAGCCAAGTGGATCTATGGCCAGTGAACAATTGGGTCTGACTGTTTACCCTGTGGCTATCAGCAGTGTTATACCTTGGGAAATGGATCTGTTTTTTGTTTTCTTATTGGACTGGTCAGGGGCAATCAAGCATGAAAAGAAAATCACCTGTTGCACACCTGGGCTCTGACCCCTTGACCTTCACGCATTGTGGACAAGCCCTGGACAATAGGGCCACAGCACTCAGTGCCGTCTTCATTCCTGTGTTCTGGAGCAGGAAAAAATAGGTCTTGCAAAGTTGGTGTCTTTGGACAAGATGTGCTTTAGTTTATTTAATTGACTTTACATGTAAGAGAAAATTGGTGACTTCTCTCCTTGTAAGTCGAGAGGCTTTTCAAGTCATGTACTATGGAAAAAGCATTGATGTACACCAAAAATATTGAGTAAAAAAGGAAGAGCATGCTATTTCTAGGCAAAAAGGGTGTTGTTATGAGGAATTCTCAGCAAAGGGAATACAGTAGTAATATTGAATGGTCATTATGCTTGAGTGAATAAAATGAACATGCTACTTTCTCAGAGTTAAAAGATTGAAACCCAATACCTAGTTGCTCTAGATAAATGAAAAGAATTGGCCATAAAACACGTACATTTTTACTCATTTATAGGATGCCATTGTTGTGCCTTGTGTCATAACTAGAATTCTATAGAAAGTATGGACCCAAGGGCAAATATTTTCTTCTGGCTTCTGTTAATTGCCATCATGAGAATTTCAAAAGTCCACTTGACCATAAAATAAACAAGACACTGCAGCCTTTGGCTATTCTGCCAAAACTTTTTATGGATCTTACTTAGTAAAATGCACAAAGGGGGCAAAAAATCTATAAGTGTCCACTATTCTGTGGTCACGTAGGAGCAATTAGTTAAGCTAATAACAGAAAAGCTTGACCTCAGCCTAACACCTATGTGAAGGGCACTGCATTATGGTCTGTATGTCTTGAAGTGTTGCTTTTCGACCTCTTTTGTCCACTTGTTTTTAAAGTGCGCTTCTCAAACTAACTTCACTGCCCTTTAAATTTTAGGGCAAGAGTGTGTGTGTACCTATGGTGTTATATTTGATATATTACCCAAAATTGTACCACAAGCTGAAAACAAAATTATTATAAACACGTTCCATTTTTTTTAGTTTAGAAATGCATTTTTTCTTCAAACATAGTTGGTTTAAAACTCTAACGCTGAGTAAATTAGGATGATGGGCATTAATGATTTTTCTCTTCATTATTACCAAATGAAGGTTTACTTACTTAATTAGCATTGACTTAGTGAGAAGTAGGAAGAACACTAAGTAATTCTCAAGACAAAACCTCCCTCTTTGCGATTTTGATATGACCAGGTATAACCTTTTTCTGTTTGGCCTTTGTGGTGGCATTTTGGGCCCAGAACTAGTGAAAGTCATGTCCAGTACATAGGACAATGACAGTATTGATTTTTGCACTCATTTGAGACGGGGTGAAGGAGTACATGTATTGCAGCGTGACGAGCAATTAGAGAAAAAGAATTGAGCACTTTAACCACTTATCGGTTTCATGTCCAACCATGAAAGGCCACAGCCCATGTCATCATTACAAAATTAATGAAATAAAAGTAAATCTTTGGGCAACAGTTCACACATGAAATTGATGGATTTTGTGTCGAGACCAGTAACAATTAGTAGAGGTTGTGTTATGACTGTCTTTGACTGGACTGAAAGTAGTGTAAAAGTTCACACATTTGTATGAACTCTTCGTTTTCCGGTCTCCCAATGTCTCTCATGATTATAGTTTTCTTTAGAAATTATTTAATAGATTGGTCAAGAAACTTAGATGACCTAGGTGCACGAATGATGCACGTTTCACCCTACCAAATATCAGAAAAATTTTTGGAAGTACCATAAGATTTTGCTTTAACTTTCATCCTGTTTAATAAAGAAGTGTTAAATTTTGATTTAAAATGTTTTCTGAACAAGGAAAATAATAGTTTTCTATTTTTAATAATTAAAACTATTAAAAGCCTATTTGTATTTGGTAAATGTTATTAATTTCTTTATACATTCTTGTTTGTTTCTTTACAAGACAATCATTTTAGAAAAACATTTGTCTTCCTAAATTTCATATTTTAGTTCCATTTTACATATGAGAATGATTTTACAAAAAATATCACTCTTTGTATCTTCCAGATTCAAACGCAATTTATGTATGGGGTAACGGTAGCAGTGGACAGTAAGTATAATCCAGTATCAGCAAACCTTCAGGACCTCTGCTGTCCTGGGTGTCAGATAGCCAAGTGGATTGTGAAATCTTACTTGACATTTGATTTATAAAGAATATTTCAATCAATGGAGGCAGGCTTGTTAAGACAAGTTTTCCCCGAGCAAACACAATATGCTTAATCTCCCACAACGTTAGGTCAGTTTTTGTGCAGTGTGATGAAAGGAACACAGTCTTTTTATAATTGGATTGCTGTTGGCTATTTAGTTGTACTAATGTAAGGCCATTAGGGCAGTAACATCATTTACCCTGGCATTAGAAAATGTCAGAGGAGGTTTAAACTGAAAAAACAAGCGGAGGGGCATGCTTAACATGCAATGCAATGTATATTGAAGAAGTGATTACATATTTTTGTACTTAATGGATGTTGTATATCATGCAGATTTGTGTGGTTTTACTCATAAGACTTACTTTTCTAATTTTTTATTATTAGTCCAGTATGTGTGGAATAAAAACAGGGTCTTTTTGTAATTAAAATGAAGAGCCTTTGACTCACTGAAAGCATAGGGGGTTGAAGGGCTTCTGTGGAATTTCCCAGTCTTCTATGACTGCATTTGTATGATTTGGATGGGTTAGCACATTTTTCAAATGTATGGAACACAAGAGTTAATGGACCAAATGATTTTGAAGAAAAAGAGAATAATTTATTGTAGATTTATATTTAGTATTTAATATTAAATGAGAATCATGCATTTAATTGTGATCTTATGTCTCTCATAACATCATTTCTTCCTGTATGGGAATGTTTTCTACCCAAATTTCTTAATATGAAAACCAAATGCATTTAACAATGTAGTGTGCAACATGCAAGATCCAGCCCATTTCTTACAAAATTAATTTCTCTGTAGTAAAATTCAAGTGGCTTTATTTCTATTTAGCATTTTAATTCGCCTCAATCATTATTTACCCCAGTGCCCACCATCATAATGGTTTACCTTTCTATCCAGGTTAGGCACAGGGAACAAGGAGTCTCAGCCCACCCCCACCAAGATAACCCTCCATATCACCCCTCCTGCCCCAGCCACCAGGTCTACCTCTGTGGTCCAGGGGGTGGCCTGTGGGGCCAGGCACACCTTTATCTGGCTGGAGAATGGACAGGTGTTCAGCTTTGGCAACAACTTCTTTGCTCAGCTTGGGTATGATGTCAGAGTCAAAGGTTACAAGGATAACCAGGTGGGTGTTTTTTAAAGATATTTTTAATGGTGCATATAGAGAAATACAGCCTTTTATGGCCATATTACAATGTAACATGTTCCAGATTTATATGTGGTAATAAGCAGCTCCCAAAAAGAAAAAGAACAAAAGGAAGAATATGCTCAAAAATATGTAAGTGGTATGCATTATATATTCCACACTTCTTGTCTGATAAAAAAGAAAAAAAAACACTAAAGCATACAGAAATAATGAAATAATTCAAATAAGAATTGAGCAGATTGTTTTACCTAATGGGAGAATCAATAGATAGCCTTGAGGCCTGGCTTTGCATGTCAGGTGCCAGTGAACTGCACTGTTTACTTGTTTCCTGGGTGCTGTATACAAATGTCTATGGTAATAAGAGGATGATGAAAGTTAAAATTGTTCTAGGAAATAGAAACTTGAAACTCAATTATAAAATATGATTGAGGCAGGAATTTGCCCATTATGTCAGTGAGTTCATAAAGTGCATGTGTTTCTATTACGGGATCAGTCACATAGTATTTCTTACATTGAGCCCTGTTTAGTTCCACATTGTGTGTTTTCCTGCATTTCAGCTGTAGTTACAGATGTCATTGTGTAGAAAGCTATAAAAACACTTTCTGTTTTGAGATCTTACCACTTTTCACATGATATACATTAATATGTCAGCTTTTGGAAAAAATAAAGGCTGGAGTATTCAAGGTGTTTGACTGCCCATGTTATAAGCATATTACTATCGATATCCAGTGATGTGTATATATTTTCCCCTTTTTGTCATCTGAAGAAAGTATCATATAAAGCATATATTCCCAGAACTGTGTTCTTTTTTATTTACCAACATGTTGTATTTTGGGAGAACAACATATTGTGTTTTATATTCAACTGAAGTCAAATTTTATCTTGCAGGTCCGTCCTCATTTTATTCGTGCCCTGAGTTACCGTGTTGTCACCCAGGTGGCGTGTGGGGAGAAGCACACCTTGTTCTTGTTTGAGACTGGGGCAGTGGCAGCTGTAGGGTAAGGTATTCTAAACTAGAAGTTAGAAATCATACTGGGAAAACGTGTTAGATAACCAGAAAAGATATTGATTAAGTTATGACTTTTCTTTCTTTCAAATTTTGATTTAAATTTGTATTAACTTAGTATGTAATTTTTTTAATTTTAAATTCTTTACTTAGTTTAGTGTCTTACTTTGCTCAACACATTTCAGTTATTGTTCGTTTGCTTGGATTTTTGGGTGTCATCCTGTACGTTAAAACAAGTTAACTTTTAAAATCAAAACACACTTCCTGAAGCAGCAAGAATAGGAGGCACCACACAACAAGACCTGAATTGAATTATGTGATCTGACGGTCAATTTTAAACAAGAACAATGCTTTGATTTTTGAAGGGCAAACCTGTCTGGACAGATTGGAAATAACAGTCGGATGGAGGCAATTGTTCCCATAGTGAATGAAGACATCGACAATGCTGTCCAAATTGCTGCTGGCTCCAACCACAGTCTGGTGCTGGATGGTAGGTGAAACTAATGACAGCAGCCTGCGGTATCTTTAAATGTGATAATCTTTTTTCTCATATAGATGATGGATGGATACATATGTATCTGTATATAGATTGATATCTATCTATCTATCTGCATATCTGTCTGTCTGTTTGTCCTTCTGCCTGTCCAACTGTCTGTCTGTCAAGCTAGGGTTATGACCTGACTGTATATAGATATATGCTCTGCTTCATAATATGGTGGTAGTGTGCTCTCTGACAGTTTAGGTGTAAGCAGGGGTATTTTATTTAAAGGATATAAGTCGACTTTTTGTTTCTCTTTGAATCCAAAGGGATAATGTTACCTTCTTCTCCCCAAAGAATTTCATATTTTTTTTTATTCAAAGTTCAAATATCCCTTTCATGTTATGATTAGAATTTATATCAAGATTACTTTACAACGCTTGCATTGAAACAGTATGTTTAAAACATACGAATGGATTTTTTAAGCAACCATGATATATAACATATTTTTTTGCTGTTACCATTTTAGCAAATGGAGCAGTCTTTGTGTGGGGTGCAGGCAAACCTTGTGGTAAAAAGAAGGGTGACATTTTAGTCCCCACTCAGATCCAGTTTCCCAACTGCAGGACCATAGTTCAGGTGTCTGGAGGAAGCATGCATAGTTTAGCCCTCACAGGTGAGTGGTCTGTCTCTACAATTTCAGGCAATATTACTTTCTGTTTTTTTATATTGCCAAGCTAGGCTTATAGCCATGTATTTTCTTATTTGTGGTAATCATACTTGGTCACAGTCTTCAAAGGTGTGATGCCTCTGGACTTATATCATGCTAGGTAATATTTTTCTCCCATCTTTGTTTTAACAACTGACTCTTATCTTTCATCTAAGGCTTGTCCACAAGCTCTTGAGCTCACATTTTATACTTTTGAGATGAAAAGCTCAGAGATGTTAAGCCTTTAGGATGATATATGAGTCTGTCCACTTGGTACACTATTCTCTCAATAGATGGCACTCCTGCTGTGTGGTGTACTGACTAGACCACGGCAGTCTCCGTGATATATGTACATGCCATACTTTACTTAATATTGCGTGACAGCAAAGGGTGGGCTTTGTTGGAGAGGTCTAATTATCTTGTCTTGGCTGGATGTGGCTATTGTTCATTCTGCTGGAGTAGGATGACACAGATTTACAATATACCAAGGTGTATTTTATTACAATGCCAAGGGCTTCAAATGAGCCAGTATGTTATGAATAATATTTTGTTGGTGATCATGGAAGGAGGAGGAGGGGGGTTGTTGTGACAGACGTCTATCGCCAAATCAGTCTGACAGATTATTAGGGCTGAAAAAAAACTGGTTTTATGAGTTTGTGCTTGGTTGCTGGGTAAGACGGATTGAATGAGGTGGTTGTCTGTGCACAACTTAAAGATGAGAGGTGGAATGCACTCACCTCACCTTTGAGGAAATGGTCGCCTGATGTGATATGCTTAGAAGCACCTGTGTCCAGTTAACTTACAGCAGTGATGCTCCTGCTTGTCTTGCTTGTTTTCACAACCACCCTGATGACCATTTAATGATCCTGTAATGTCAAGGTTGGGGAAGGGTGGCATGCCTCATTCTAATTAATGGGACCTGTTGCAATTCTGCAGTAGTTCATCAATCAAGGGACTACTGCATGCTACTGAACTTTAATAAACTGCTAAACGTGTGGATCTCTCTCTCTCTCTCTCTCTCTCTCTCTCTCTCTCTCTCTCTCTCTCTCTCTCTCTCTCATTTGGTATCATGAACAGCACATCAATCACTCACCAGATTGATAAGTTGATGACTCTTCCACCTTTTCAAGCAAAGGTTATGTATTGGATAATAAACCTGTTGACTTTTCAACTCACTTGAACCTACTTTTTATTGGGTTATGTTTTATATTATAAGCTCTGTGACTTTTCAATTTATTGCCTGCAAAACTTGTCTGGTTGTTAATAAATCCTGTTGCAGTCTAACTTGTTTTATAAAAGGGTTATGTGAAGCAAAAGGTTAAGTTGGGAAACTGCTGAATTTAATCACTTTTGAACTCGCTGAAAAAAAATGTAAAGCCTTTTCACCTCAGTCAGACAGGTTATATTGTGAAGTGCGTCCTCGACTCCTGTATGAGTATTCATTTATTACAGCATTGCATGACATCCATATACATCAAAATTAGATTAATATGTCCTGCATACTAAGCATCATGACCAGTTTCCTGCAGGGCAATTTTTTTATGGAAGTTCATGGGACTGGTTCTTTTGGATGCACTCAGTTCACCCCTTCTAAAAAAAGTATTAATATGAAGCGATAACATCTGTATTTTCAGTAATGTCGTCCATAGAGAGATGAGTTAAAGAGTTTGGGGAGAACACAGGTGAAGTGAGTGAGAAGAAGGAGGGGGTTGAAGAGAAAGTGGAAATTGGGGGGGGGCGCAAATGGAAATATATCTGAAACATCCAAATAACTTCAGATAACCTCAGATAAAATGTTGAAAAAGCTTATAATTATCATAGATCATTTACTAAAAGTTGTCATTTTAATCCTAAAACAGTGTGCAAAAATTCTGATCCTGACGAATCATGCCGCATAAAGGTTGCTTTTCTCTGGGTGCACCAAGTCTGTTTGTCTGACCCAGTGGACATCAAATTGAAATGATGGAGTGAACATAAGTTGTTGTAATTACCTTGCCATCTGCCCACTAGGTGGCAGTTATTACCCGACAAGGGTCAAAGGAGAGAAGCTCTGTGTAAGGTAATGCTGCCTCTCTGCCTCTATTGCTGCAGGCTGCAGACTTTATGGGAAAACTAAATGAATATTTTGAATATAAAACAAAAAAATGGATGGAAAAGAAGGGAAAAAAACTCTGCACTTTTTCCAGCAGTCAACTGTACTGAGCATAATGAGAAAGTGTTTTGGGCAAAGAGCTAACAGCCTTAAAACTTAAGAGTTATGGTGACCCTCACTTACCTGAAAAACATTTTTTTAAATCTGGATTTTAACCACTTAACACAAAAACCGTTTGCAGTGGCCTTAACCAGCTACTGAGTTGTCTGAATGAAGACAACTCCGCCTGGAGCCAAGGCATCCTGACATCCTGAGGATGATACATTGACCCATGACATGCAAAACTCCAACAGCAAGTAATAAGAGAAGTGAGGTAGTTCAGGTGCACATTAGAAAGGGTGACATCTCACTCCGTTGGGGTCCCAACACTGCCATTCTGAATATTTTTTGTTTGCTTGTTTGTTTGTTTGTTTGTTTGTTTTTAAAGAGCGAAAGAAATCATTTTCTTGTTCATTGTCTTGAAATTATTTGATTTTTGTTTGTTTTTTGCATAAAGTAATTTTTGTCATTATTTTTCCCACCTCGACACTTTTTGCATGAAACAACCTTAAATTTATTTTTTTAAAATATTTGTTTGTTTATTTTTTCAGTACTGATAGTTCTATTAATTCATGTCAAATATTTTATATTTGGAAGATATATTGTCTTATTTCATTATTTCTGAAAGGGTTTTCACACATTGGACAAAATACCTGAAATGTTTTTTTTTTTTTACAACGCAGCTTGCCTGAGATGATTGAAAACAGATTAAAAGTGTCATTCTCAAACCCAAGGTCTAGCTAAATTTAGGCTTTCTTTTGTAAGCATTTGTATACATCAATCTTTTGAGAAACTTTATCCTTCTGTATATTTGTTTGTACACTATTGTATAGCACACCCCATTTCAGTTAGATAATACCAGTTTGATAATGCGATTGTGCAAGGCATAAATCCTACACTCTTTCTATAAAAGCGTGTGACGTAAGGAGGGGCAATGTGAAATCGTGTGAGAAGATATAGATTTCAGGTGGTCAACCCAAAATGAACACTTGTAGGGTGACACTATTGAACAACTCCAATGTGTCAACCATTCAAAATGCTAAGTGATCCAATTATTCATGCATACATTGCACAATTTAATGGGTCACCTGCAGTGTTGAATCTCAATTCACAGCTGTCCACAACTGAATACAATTATTAAGTCTAGACTGGCTGACCCAGGGCTTGACCACTGACCCAGGAAGTGAGTGACCAGTGCACCGTTCAGCCATTCTCATTTGATGTCTCTTTGACATGCACATTTGGCTCACTTACATTAAAATAATGAGAATGCACTTGATTTTTTTATGATTTTTTTCAATTATCTTACAATATTTTTTCATATTTATTATATCATTTTTCCAGATCATTTAATTAAAATATCATCTAGCCCGAAGTTTGTGAAGAATTACTTTTTGTAAGAAATATCTGTGTGAAAAAAGTTAAAAGCTAATGAAAATGTTGTTTTTAAGTGTGAGACAAGTCAGTTTTGAAATGAGGTGAAATATTTTTAATTGAAATATTTTTAATTGATAATTGACAAAAATTACAGTGGCTACGAAAAATATCTAAATCTGCTCAAAATATCAGTAGAAAGTGATGAGACTTTATACCAAAAAAAAAACTTGAAATGAGAGAATTATTTATGCATGTATTTTGTTCTGTCCTTGAGCACTTTAAATGGCGGTCTTGTCCAGTGCTACCTATCAATACCATTCATCTTTCTTTATCTCCCCTGCTGTGGTCATTTATTATGGATGACGCTTGACAGGAGATGGACAGAGGCAATCAATAATTTAAGTGTACTTAGTGCATATCTTTTTGTACACTTGTGGTTTCTAAAAGTTGAATTTATTATGAGGCAGGGTCAAAATGATGACTTTGAATGATAGATACACTTTGAGATAACTGTTGTCTGCATTCTTATGCACTCTGTCCACTCCTCCATTTTGTTATCATTGAATATTTAGTGATTCTTTTAAACAAAGTTTGAAACCTGAATTAATTTTTCAGAAAGAAATCATGTTTTAGTTTTACCTAGTTATAAAAAAACTTGATCTTTTTTCTCCCTGAGTATCATGTTTTACCTATAGATGGCGACTCTGTTTTCTGTAAGTATGAATTTGGGAGATAGAAATCAATATGTAAAAAATATCTCATCATGCTTATCTGTGGTTTTTAAAAGATAAACCTTTGCTGAAAAGTTATATTTTGAAACTGATCTTTAAATTATTAAGACCAAGGTGACTTTGCAAATTAAAGGGGTCAGTCAGTGCAACAGCTACTTTGCCATCTCTTAATCTAAGTATAGAATATCATCTTGACTTTTTTTGTTAATAATACACATGGATATTTTCTTAAAAGCAGTTATACATGCATGCTTTTATTTAATGTGATCCAGTGCCTCTGTGAAAAAAAAGGTAACTTTTCTCACTGGGTAAAAGCATGATTTATGACTTCATTACAATGGTTACAGCTATGAACCCCTGCCACGCCAATTTCTTGTAGGAAGTGTTTGCTGGTACTCATAGATATGTCAGCAAGCTTCATGTAAGTGCTTTCAAAAAGCAAGACAGTTTTTGAGAGGAAAGGGGCTGGTTCGTTTTGATGCACTTATTTTTTATAGCTAGAACACTTTTTCTGCAGGGAAGTCAAATGGAAGAGAGATGTGTTAAAAATGAAGTTTATTTTAATAAATAATTGATAAAATAATAAATTACTTGTGACCACTTTGTCAAACAGTCAAATATTTCTTAATTTCTTATTTAAGATTTCTTCATTTATAATTACAATTTAA